GTGTCTCGTCCAGACCTTCCCTTTCCCTTTGTGAGTACCTGTTCCCCCACTCCGTTCCCCAAAATATATTAAATATCTCCGTTACTAGTTATCCGGTCCGGTCGCATGTGGTACCGTTGGATGTGCCTCAGAGAGACCTATCACTGTCCGTTTTTGAGTACCGACACCCGATTCTCAAAAATTTTGACCATACCAAGGGAATTTCATAAAGAATGCTCCGCAAATAAGATAATCATGGCGCAGTAGATCGTTTGTGCATCGCTCGAACCTAATTAAATCTGCTCGCATTCGCAAACACGACTTCTAATCCAGCTCATATTTCATAGCACTGATCCTTGAACTCGTAGAAATCCATTGACGAAATCGCTGTCTCTTTTCGGTCTCGAGTTAAACGAAGAACAGACGGACAAAATCATCATATAACGGCAATTATTTTTCTTCCGAAAGACGCGAAAACGATATTAATGACCTATCTCAAAATGTGATTCCCGGAGTCTCTTCTCTCCTGACTTTTGCCATGCTCCTCAGTAGCGTTAAATTTCGTCACAGCTGATTTTGTGTGATATCCTTAATGATAGTGATGATAATACTTGCTGGAAAACGTCTCGGCATTAAAGCGGCGTTCATCCACCCAGATAACTTTCTGTAATATACCAGGAATATTCAAAAATGTATATTTGAACATGCACTAAACACCATTGGGAAACAAAAATTAATGTATTTTTTCGCGAAGGATCCACGAATGACGTCACATATGACTTAAACGCGAGCAACATTACAAGTATAGCGATCGAGCAATCCTTATAATCATCCTTGGGTTCTACCTACCTATACTAAAGATATGCGAATATCTCAGATATTATGAGAATAAACTTAAAAGATTATTCGCCATGTATTCCGAATATTTTTAAAACATGAATATCACTTGGAATATTCTGAACATAAACTTTATAGAATGTATGGTTTTGTTTATATCAGTGGAAAGATTATAGTTTTGATAACTCAGAGGTATAATTTGTTTAGGGGGGTACCATTTGAAAAATATGACATTTGGTGAAAGTCAACCCAATTTGTTCGATCAAGTACCTAAAAACAATTATGTGACTGTGGAAGAGGTCTTAACCTGTGTCTCAGTTCAAAACTTAGCCGCCTGAGCGATTTAGTTTCTCTCAAAAAAAATTTGGAAAAACTGTCAAATTTTGACGAAAAAAGGTTATAACTTATAATAGCAAAATCGTTAAAGTTAGGGGTATAACATGTTACATAAAAAAATAAGTACTTTTCAAATGTTCCATTCAGTGCTCGATTTTAAAAAATGCAAGTTTGATACGCCACTGGAATACTTTAGAAATATGGCGCCGATAATTGATAATTTTGCTGTATGACTTTTTCGGTATCTTTTATGATAAAGGAATTATGATCCGAGGGGTCTTAAATGCTACACCCCTACACTACACAATATTGCACTAATGGAAATGTTTGTAGTGGCGACATCTAAATAAACTTGAGGAAGATCCAGACTGTCAATTTTCAGTGCCTGAATTCATATATATAAAAGCCGTTTTACAGTTAACAATTTTTCTTGCGTGCAATTTAACTTGCTGCAAGTTTTAGGTGCAATTAAAATTGCCAGTGGCTTTACAGTTGGCAATTTTTGTGATGCAACAATCATTGCAAGCGTAAGTACCAACCCTACCCTAGACAAGTACCAACCTTTAGGAGGTAAAAGCAAATGTCTACAAAGATGGATGAAAATATAAAGGTTAAATTATTCATTATTATTATTATTTTGTTGGGATCTGCGCTGCTTCTGCAAGATGGAACGAGAAAAAAAAGGCAGTGACACAAAATCAAATTTTTGAAAGGTTGGTACGTCGTAATATACTACAAAAGTTACTAAAATTGCATGCAAGATACAGAACTTTTGGCGCAAAACACGACATTTTTCTTGCACCATAAAAATTGCAGCAAGTCGACGCAATATTCGATTTGCGCATGCGTGCAATAAAAATTGCAGCAATTTTTCTTGCCGGAAATAAAAATTGCGAACTGTAAAGTGGCCTTTAGAGAAGTAATATGGATAAACGAGTGGACACGCCTATCGCCAACGTTAGTGGATGGAAATATACTTCTGTCATTAGTTGGGAACTAGGCGCTAATGCGCTTGCCTGTTATTATGTAGTGTTATTTACCAAGCATTTACTCCAGTTTGACATAACGGATTGAGGTTAAATTGTTTGTTTTGTTTATGAGTTATTGAACTTTTGTTTAATTTTAATAGTAAAGAAGCCTTTCGTAGTTATATAAATCAGTATACGTAAGTGATACACAATAATTGTAAAGGAATACCTAATGTTTGGCAATTTTAGTGTGTTCATTACTTAGAAATAAAGAAATGCAGGTACTTGTGGGAAAGTGGATTCTTCGGTTTCATGGCACAAGTAAGTTACAATGCAATTATCTGCAATCAATTCATTTATGCCATACCTACTTGTTATTAGATTCCCAAGTGAAAAAAGCAACAAGAATCGGTGACTGCAAGCATGTGAACTATCGGAATTCGATGATGTAAAAACAAGGTTGTGTTCTCGTCATTTTAACCGCTATGACTGCATTGATTTGGATGCACGCAAACATGATGGGGGCGAAGTTATATGGGGGTCACTTAACACCTAAAAGATTTCCAACTCGACAATGTTAATTTTATTTTAAAATCAGTAAATGTCTTTAATTTAATTGTGTTTCTTTGAACATTGGTAATGTATCACTTTATATTATAGCTGATGCGAACTTATCCAATTTCATGTTATATTCAAGATATGATCCCTATAGGTATATTATTTCAAATTGCAATTTAGGTTTCTAAATCGTTACAAAGTTTGCCTTCGAAGTTGAAGGGTGTAACCGTAAACAAACTCCGCTGAGGAAGCTCGAAAGTTCTCCGTGAAAATTCTACAGATTCCAAGCAGAACGATACGGAGTACCTTGAACCAGAACGCACTGGGTGGCACATGAGCGCTGATTTGAGTTGGCAGTGAAATCATTCAAGTAGGCCATTGAGTGCAAGTCCCGAATCCTTGTGTGCCGAAAACAATGTTGAGGGCACAAAAAAGGGAAGATTCAAATTGTCGTCGCTGATCGGTGAAGATGCTAGTAGGGGAATCGAAGCGATATAGTCAACAGAGGTAAGAAACGCTTCGGCGGCGATTGGTCTTGGGAGGGTGGGCCTCGGCCAGCTAGTATACTTATCTAAAGACATCACAGGATCAGACAATAGTGATAGGAGTCGGCAGGTGGAATGGGGCCAATGTGGTGAATATGAGCCTGCATGAAGCGAATAGAAGTCTGGGTGAAGTTTCCGAATGGTGCGTGGTTGTGTTTACATATGGTAATTGCACACAATGATGGTTTAATAAAATTTTAACCCTATTTTCGAGTTATAGGTTATGAAATTTGAAATTGGCGCTACTTAAAAGTAGGCGGAGAGAAGTAAATATTTACTTGGGGAGTTTGCGCATAAATACGGAGTTGAGGACTAAGGAATAGGGCAGCTCTCTTTTATGGCGAACAATTTGCACATTGCAATCATAGGCGGTTATCCATATACTTCTCTTATATATATGCCTGAATTAAGGAAGCGGCTAAAATGCCGTGGCATACATCTAGGAGACCAAGCAAAGATCACAAAAAAAGGATTGTGGGGGCAGCAGCAGAGACATGAGGTCGCGCGCATTCGACTTTTGCGACACTCCGAAGTACAACCTCGGCCCAGACTCCCCCGCCCCTCCCAATTCCCAAAAAACAAACGAACAGACGCGTGCTTCATGTTTGCCGCAATGCGCTAAATAAGGCCCAAATTTCCGTTATTTTTTTGTCGTATATTTTCAACCATTAAAGCGCAATTTTACTCAATTTCGTAGGTGTTTTGGACGCATTCTGTTACCTTACTTTCGAAACCATCAAAAATGCGAATGGAACTTAGTAAGATCGTCTCTGAGAGCTGGGAACACTACTGCGGCTTTTTAAACTTAAATACTAAAATTGTCAGTTTTCCATAGCTGAGATTTTTGGAGACTTTGTTTTTTACCCGAAGAGCTAAAGTTCCTGTATTATATTATATGTAGTGTGATTGAAGATAGCGATTTGTGGTGAAGCTCTATCGCACTTTTTTTCCCGATAGGCGGTTGTGAGTGTGAAAAAGAATAATCAGTTTGAAATTTGATTAAAAATTTGAGATCATCTTTGACACAGAAATTAATCCTAGTAAGTACACGAGCTCGGTAGTTATTTTCTGTCTGCCTGTGAGAGATTTCAAACTTCCGTCATATACGTGAAACAGAACATAACATTTTCAAGAAAAGTCCATCTTATTCCAAAATATCAAAGATTTTATAAATAAAAAGGTTCACTTTGCCAAACGGTGCATGACTCAAATTGTGTAGGTAAAAATAAAGCTTTTGTCCATCCGAAATATTCGATAAGTATAAGCCGTACGTTACTAACTTGCAATGACCGTGGTCACGATATTTTGTTCGACCACTATCTGAAAATTCAAAACAAAAGAAACTGATCGTTTCAAGGTGATGCGATATTCAAATAAATCCTGAAATTTAAATTCAAACCGACTTTTCTTGCTTCCCGAAACGTGACAAAGTAGCTATTCCGCATTAATTACGAAATTCCCACACTGTCTACGAGTTGTATTTGCACAACTTCGCTTCCGCGGTTTAAAAAATAAACAAACGAACAGACTAGATTTGATAAAAGTCGAAATTACGTCGTAAAAATGGACACTCATTCATCCATTCGTATACGAGTGGTTCCTCGGAACGAATTTTGACAATTTCCCAAGTCCCAACGATAAATGCCTAACTTTCTACAAAAACATTTCAAGGTTAATGCGATACGAATCTATCGGAACACGGAAAACTTCCAACCCGCATGGATAATGAATGGCGACAAAGACGATTTCGAAATAGGTATTCAGTTGTTTTTTTTACCTGTACTCATATTGGAGTCTTGGCTATGAACGGGCTGCGTTGCATTGACGGTGGTTTGCGGTGCCATCTGTATTTGGGATCCAGCTGACATCTAAAACAAGAAGGCACCATGAGATAACGATCAGCATAACAACAACCACATCCGATTTATGTCGACAGGCATACTACTAGTAGGAGAGGTCAATTTTTTCACGTCGAATAATACCTACAGCCGCATTTTGCGATGATGAAGAAATTGAAGGCGGATTCACACGAATAATGCAAACGTAAACCGACCGTACAACGAATCGTGTTTTAATTTATTTATAAATGTCCTTGCGGTTCTACTATACAACTTATTCTAAACGATAGAATTTTCATTATCCTTACCAAGAAAGTATGCAACTGTCGCCGTCGCGATTGTGATATTATTACTGATAATGAATGTCCTATGCTTTACCAACTTGCGGTGGATCAAACTCGAGTGAAATGACTCACTAATTTAGAATGCAACCAACAAACATCGGGAATAGGATCCGGCATTATTCTTTCCGAGTGCTAACTTGATAGGGAGTCGTATTTACAACGTCACATTCCCAAATTAACTCACGCTCGTTATGAAATTATCGAGCAACACCCACTAAATATTAAACGTACGTTTTACTTCAATCTCTACGCGACGAACAAAATTATCGATTAACGACTCACTTTTTTTTATATAAACTTGCAGATAAGAGAACACTAATTACCTTACTTTCCATAGATTGTTATTGAATTTAAATTAAGTCGCCATTAATAGATAAATAGAAGGCTAATTAAATCAGTTATTCTAATGGTAACACAGTCACAATGATGATATCAGTCCCCCTCCGTCCCACACACCTCTAGAAATATGTCACATTTGGAAAACATTGTGGACCATGAACCAACTTTCACTTGGAAATATTCTCCAATAAATTGGTTGCATGGAACAGTTCGACATCTACTAGATCCAAGTCCCATACTGTGCAAATCGACAACCTAAGTTTCTTGGTGAAAAGTCTAAGCAGGGCCGCCCAGATAATTTCAGGGGCCTGGGACAAAGTAAATTTTGGGGCCCTGTTTTGGAATAGAACAAATTTCAAAGAAAATGTTAATGTTAATGTGCCAACGGCAACTCTATTGCTGTTTCATTCATCCTCACAGATCCACGGCCAACACGGGGGCCCTTTGAAATCGGGGGCGTGGGGCAAATCGCCCCAGTTGCCCCCCCCCCCTTTGGGCGGCCCTGAGTCTAAGGACACTTTCGAGAGCGCCGGAACTCGGCCGAGATCAACTGATAACGAGCAAAATTCTGATCCCTGGAATTAACTAGAAACTTTTTGGGAAATGGAATGAATTAGGCTTTTGTTAAACAAAAGAATAAGTAGACATTCTGCAGGCTCCTCGAATCAAAGACATATTTTTGTCCAACGCAAAAATGCAGTTAGTTAACGAAGTTCTGCAGTTCAGGTTTATACAAGTTTCATATTCAAATTGCTTTTTAATTATGGCATAATTATGAAACCGATAAATTTTCTTTTAATCTGGCTTGATCCAACAGTTTCGTGTTCGGATTTTGCACTTTTATGAAAATGGGTGAGCGTTTTTCGTTGGCGGAATGCTCCAGAATTAAGCTTGTTTCACACAGGCGACGCTCACCACGCTCCACTCGAGGTACACTCACATGAAATCAAATAGGAATGTTCACACTACAGCATGGTGTATTATACACCATGCACTACACTACAGTTAGCACCAAGCTCACGCGCATTCCTTTTGATTTGTACACCTTGCTCTCCAATTAAATTTATACACGCTGAAAAGAGAGAGCCTCACAGCCATGCCATGGTGACATGAGGGGCTCACGGCATACAATAAAGCCATAAAAAGGGCAAAGGGATTCCTGGAAGAAACACCAGGATGGTATACAATACAAATAACGCCCGAACCAGCAAGACTCCAAAGAGCACTTTTATATCTCCTGACGAATTCAAGAAGGAAAAAAGAAACCCTTATGCACACACTGAGACTAACAAAATTAAATGTACTTCAATCTACCACACTTATTTGCCAATTTACAGTACCTAGCTACTTTCGAAAAATAGTTCACGTTTTGAAACACTTACTCGCACGAGCCGAGCCTGGCTAACCTATCTTGCCTGCTGTCTCTCTCTATGCTCGGCTATTAACACGAATCGAGAGATACGAGAGAATGCATTTTCGTAGCTTAAGTCTGATGCTGGAAAGACTTGGTTTATTTACACACCAGCTTTTGGGAAATCCCGTTTTTTTCCGTACCCCGTTCCTGTCTTTTGCCGTTCTAGTGCGAACTTCGGAAAGTTCCTTCGGAGTACACCTTCACGTCGACGTTCTAAATGTCAAGTCTGTTTCCTACTGTAAAACATCTTTTTTCTGTTCCCGTTTCCGTGGGAATTTAATAAACTTTCACGGCCATACGTCCAAACATTCTCCAAAATTTCATTGCAATCAGATGAAAGGTTTAGACACGCATAAGGGACAGACAGACAGATAAACATTCATTTTTATTTATATACATAATAGCAAACCTGACGAACGTTGTATGGCCTATCTCGGCAAATCTCGTATATAACTATTGACATTGACTAATAGTCTAAGAGCCAGTGAACTTTTCGCGTATAAAGTTGCCGATGGACAATTCCCATATAATATCCGTACAGTGTGCACATTTTAATTCCTTGGAGGTTTTGTGAGTTAAGAGATACCGTTTCAGGACACGGTGTTGATGTGTTGCAAAATTACAATGTGCACATTTTAAATATTGGAAATATTGCGAATTAACATATGCCTAAGGATATAGTTTTGCTTTGTACTAGTATCTGCACGTAAGAAGACTACAACAGACTATGCGCAGATGACTTTATTAATTTATAGTTTGAAACTGCCTCCGTAGCATACTAATAGGTGCAATTAACAGAACATGAGTGGGGATACGTGATCTAAGCCTTCTTACGCGCCGGGTACAATAGTTCGTTCACACTATGCACATTTTAAATCCTTTAAAGACTTGTGTGTTAAGAGACAATTGTTTCAAATTTGATACATGAATTAATTTTTAGAATCTCTACAATAAAGTATCAAAATAGTAGGGCGCAGTATATAGAGGGTTACATTTTCTTTGCCACCATGTATAATGAAAACAACACCTAATTTAGACCATGCATATATTTGTATTTTTTCGAGTTTTGACGAGTACTATCACCCCCTGAAATATCTGTATGATATTAATTAACACTCTACAGTGTTCCTAAATATGATGTACGTACATATGGAAGGGGCTAATTCTTTGGATTATTTTTGGACGCTTCGTTACCGATTTACAGGGTGTTATAATTTCATCGTACACTTTACAAATTAAAACTTTAATTTATAAACATACAATTTCGAAGAGAAATATTAAAGTATGGGACATTTGGCTTTATTGGACAATTGCGAGTACGCCGAAAACATCCATTATCCTATACCGATTGAAGGGATCAAAACCCAAGTGGCCTTAGACAAGTAAGTACACTGATGAATACTCGAAACCAAATTTTGCACATTAGTCCTTAAAAAAGATCCAGTCTAATAATTATTTGTGACCTACTTAAATGGTCTGTGATAAAAAATACCAATGTGTTCTACCCTACACTTTACAATTTAAACCTTTAATTTATAAACATATGCAACATATACGATACCACTTTCAAAGCCAACTGTCAAAACTAAGAAATACAAGAGATTATCCAAATAAAGCCAGGACCTACTGGATCATTTCTGTGTCCTTTAGCCAAGTACCGTAAATTGGTTTTTTTGGCCGACTATGTAGCTCAGTGGTAGAGTGTTTGGCTCCATAGGCGGAGGTAGGGTGTTCGAACTTGGACTGAAATAATAATTTTTCATCTGTGACAGAGATGGGCAGTACAGTTTCGAGCATTATGCCGGATACTCCGAGTTAGGTTTTCCTGCAATTTGTAACGTAAATACCGGAGTAGTATTGAAGAACTTAAGACCTTCTGCAGGAGTACCTCTAAATAGCATTACGCGGATCACTTTGTAATTGGACGCAAGCCAGTTGAGGGTCCAGGACAAGAGATGGATAATAAATAAATAGATAACGGTTGCAAATACGAAAAATTTCAAGAGACCAAAAAGTTTGCAAACCAAGCAGAAAATCAAATTCTTATTTCACAATATACCAGTGGCGCGCCAAAAAAAATGTTTAAGGGTAGAAATTCAAACATGGCCTCTGAAAGGGTGTTCCCTGTAGGTTCTCACTACCATTGACATGACCATGATGTAAACCCTTCAGCGTATTTTATATTCCACATTTGAGCAAAATAATTTCAGGACCTGGTAGAGCGGTCTAAGCCTTTGAAGACCTACGCGTATATAAACTATAAGTAAAAGAATTAGCCCCTTATGTTTTTACATCATATTTAGGAACACCCTGTGTAGGATCAAAATATATGGATCACGCATACCTTACACATCGAGGAATAAAATTTTGTTTTTTTTTCAACAAAATTCGTATACATAAAAATTTTTTTGTCTCATTTAGACATTAACATGTTAGGCATAAACAAAATTTGGGCATGTTTTGAGCAGCTAACAATTGAGTTCACGTCATTTTCCCAACAAAGCATAGCAACGACGGTCCGAAATCGATGCGAATTTTAGGCATTGCCTAATGGCCACCTCTAGAGCGAAGATATTAGCACATAATACCCGAAATCCTTACAGTGAGATTACATGGCTATAATACTAATCTCACTGAACTGCATAAAAAATAGGTAGTTTTATTGTATATTGAAAGTCCAACAAATCTGCTTAAAATAGAAATTGCAATATAAACAATAATTTTCCACTCAATTCAAATATCTTTATTAAGATACCACAATCAACGATAAACTGAATTAATATAGTAAATATTAAAATCTCCGAATAGAAAAACATTTAACTTGGGTGGTAGAAGACCGCTAAATTCCATTAATATTTTCAATTTTCGTCGCCATTTTTAAAATGGCGATCCTATTGGACACACATATCTGTAATAAGTGAAGAACTATCTAG